TCTGGCATATGGAGATGTTCAAAAAAGGCTTCAAAAGGCGGGGCATGGTGGCACACAAGTGCAAGCCCAGCACTCAGGAGGCTGAGGCAGGAGGAGGATGGCTCGAATTTGGGGCCAACCTGGGCTACAAAAGTGAGCTCAAGGCCAGCTTGAACTTCATAAAGAGACCTTGTATCAAAAAGACAAATAACGACAAGAAAAAAGCATCAAAGTACACAAAAGGAATCACTAATGACATAAGATGACCCTCTTTTCCAAGACAACCATAATCTCTACTCACATGCATGTTATAACTTCAATTTAAGATGCCACTGATTTTGCTACTTCATTTTCCCCAATGGAATGATTTCTGCATTTCAATTGTGCTAACTGCCGAGGCTCAGCTCTTACCATTGTGTCTTGTTAATAGAAGCAAAGCCCCATGAAAATGAAATGACAGCCAGGTGAAAGGTACCACAGCAAAGTTCCCTGCTATGGTCAGGCAGGATGTTCTACCTGATTGGTATATTCTGAAATGATAATTTTGCATCTGGCCTATTTGATGCTCTATACTTGTGAATTAAAGTAAAATCAAAAGAGGCATGAGTCTTGTTTTCATAGTGGAAATATTAAATACATTCTCATTCAACCACGGCTGTTTAACTTTTTAAAACACATGCTCCCTTTTGAGAAACAAAAAGCTCAGGCCTTCTCAACAATATTTAAAATTTGTAAATAAATGATTATAAATAGTTAATATGTGGGCATGTTCAAGATTTACATTTTTCTTTTATCTTGGAAGGTAGTTTTCATTGCTCTTGTTGCTTTAGTCATATAAAATCACCACAACAGAAGCCTACTCTATTTTTCACAAACTTTTCTACCCTTGGAAAACATCAGAGGAAATCACTGAGTAATTTTCCTACTAAGCCTGTTGCTTTATTTTCATAACCAGATAAACAGGTAAAAACAGATAGAAGGGTAGGTAGGTGGGTGAGTGGGTGGATGGATGGATGGATGGATGAATGGATGGATGGATGGATGGATGGATGGATGGATGGATGGATTGAACTTCTCTGCCTTTGAGGAAGTGGTATCTACATCTCCATGAAAATCATTAACACACATAATTCCCAGAGGAAATTTTGATCAAAGCCATATGGTTTGGAAAACTACGGTACTTAAGATATCTTTTAATCAATTTAACTAAAGCACTGTCTACTTCACTTAATTCCATTGAGGGCTATTTTAAGTCCTCCAACACACAATCAATATTCCTAGTTAGAATGGCTAAGATAGAAAAGAACTTACTCAAAAGTATAGGACAAATTAATTAAGAAAAAACAATACATTGTGTTGAGATGACATCTATTATAATAGCCAACATCGGGTAAAATTAGCAAGTCAATTGTTAAAAATATCTAAATATATTTAGGTATATAAATATCTAAAGATATTTTTATATAAATATCTTAATATCTAAATATCTTAGATATTCCACTGGAGATATCTCACTGAAATAGTTTCAGGTTAGAAGGTAGCAGTACAATTGTACCTTATCTAAGGAAAGCCCTGCCACAGATGCACGCATATATGCATATATATATATATAATTATAATCCCCAAAATTTTGAGTTTTTAAATTTTTTAAAAATTATTTATTTATTTATTTATTTATTTGGTACAGGGTCTCAATATGAAGCTTGGACTCAGTGATCCTCCAATACTCCTGCCTCAGCCTCCCCAGTGTTGAGATTATAGGTACGGGCCACCACATCTGGTTTCAGTGGCTGGCACGGCATCCAGCACTGGACATCGAACCCATGTCCTTGCATTTGCCAGCAGGCACTTGAACTCCCAAGCTATCTCACCAGTCCCAAAACTTTATGAGATTTAAATGCTTTTATTAACCTACAGAGTAGTGAAAATTCACAAAAGAAATAAACATCACTTAATTTAAATGACAACTGTGCTGGAGACTGAAAGTTTCCTTAATTTCCTCCCATATAACTTAATGCCTTTTTTAGGCAAGTATAGTGTCTAAAGTTTTGGACCACAAACACCATAAACTTTTTTTTACACAAAAATTCAATCTTTGCATCATCATTTGGACTTATCTGGAAATAAAGGTTTAAGCTGAAATTACTGGCTGAATCGTGTCCTTTTTAAGCATCAGTATGCGTGATGATGAGTATGCTCCACAGAGCTCAACATAAAAAACATAAAGACAGCATGGCTTTTTCAGAAGATGTCTTAGGGCTTTAGAAAGACATGGATCCTGTTTTAAAAGTAAGGTACAGAACACAGAAGAGACTGATGCCGCTTTCTACCGAATATTTAACTTGAGAGCATTTAAAGCAAAGCTTTACTATTGGAAACCCCATGCAAAAAGGCAAGGATTTATTCCACACAGATTGTAAAATGCATGATATTTATATATCTAATAATAGCACTACTGGGCATTGTTCACTCCAAAATATTCACTAAGCATTTTACTCACTAATTATGATCCCATCTTTTCTCCTTTACTTTGTATTTTCCAATATTAGATGCTTTCCTGAAAACTGACATCAAGTTGCTAAGAGATAGAAAAATCAGCTTGAAAGGCTTCTATGCCTGTCTGAGAACTGCCTTCTGAGATCTTGCCTAAAGACAGTGAAAGTTAATTCTGTTACCCTTGCAAGGATTTGCCTTGTTTGTAATAGAAGACAATTCAAAGGTTTCAGAAAAAAATGAATGACTTCCAATTTGCACAATTTAGTACAAATATCTATCATTTCTCAGAGCTTGATGATTTTCCATTCCATAAAACTAAAAGATAATCACATTATTTTATAACTAAATTTAACTGACGTGTCCATAGCATGAAAGACATTTAGTATTTTGACAAACATCTTATAAGACACAAAGGCTTCAATGGACATCCGCAAAATGAAGTTAAACCTTGCATCCCCAAAGTGAAGCTCAACTCCAAGGACCATAAGAACATCTTGTGCCTACAACTTTGCCTGCCTGATTCTTTACATGTCTGGAGAGAGAGGGCAACTTGGTCTGTGAGGTAGTTCTTACACTTTATCAGCAACAAAACAGCATGCTGCTATAAATATGTACATACCAACTGTCATTAGCTTATCAAAAATAAATATTTGCCTAATCAAAGGAAATATTCCTCTAAAATGAGAGCAGTATTTTAATCAGCAAATGTTTCCTAATGACATGGAGGCTCTTCACATGCACATTTCATAACCTTTCAAGGACAAACTTTTAAGTCATATTAGGAAAAAATGCATTTAAAAAGGGGCCACCATTGCAGAAAGGTCTAGATTTTCTATAAAGCCAACAGGTTTAATTTTTAACCCCCATGTATTTATCACAAAGCTATTGAAAATGTATTCAAATTTCCAACCAATGCTTTACTGGAGTATTTCGCAAAGGAACTTGACAAGAGTTCACGTCTTCATACATTAAGTGAGCTGCCCATGTCCACTTGCCCAGCCCTCTTTCCTCAACTTCTGGCACACTGTCACTTGGCTGCATTGTCAGTGATTCCCGCATATTACACGCTGCTTTTGCACTAAGTCATGTTGCTACCACTTTGGGGCTAAGACCACTTAAAATTAACCACTTAAACTAATAAAATTCCTGTCACAAGCAATGTCTTGGGAGTAGGTGTGCCTGAGAAAGGACTGCCAGGTGCCCATCTGGAGGAGAATATGAGAGTCTCCTCCCTTTTCTAGGTGTCTGCTGATTCTAAGAGTCGCATTCATAGACAAGTTCTTTCAAACTGAAGAGGTAGGCAGAATGCAACACTTGCACTCAAATACAGTGACCTCAAATAGCATTTAAAGAAGAAGCAACAAAACGGCTTCAGAGATGAAAAAGCAACCAATCTCCAGCACTAAAGATAGCATAAACCCTACCGGGTTTTCTCCGCTAAGTTTTTGTGCAGCAGCAACAGCAACTAAATCAATATGCTTATCCTCACCCTTAAGAAACCTCTTGCCCCCAAACAGAAACTGCTGGGTCCTTCTCCGCTGGGTTTTTCCAGTAACTTTTGGGCAGCAGAACAACCTAATCAATATGCACATCCTCACCTTAGAAACCCTCTGGTCTCCAAACAGAAACTGCTGGGTCCCTGCCCACTGTGTCCACAGGGGCAGAAACTGTCACCCCCACATGGGGGAGAATTCGGGGGTGCAGGGAGGGTCTGAGTCAGGTACTAGAGGCTCTAGCGTCCAAACCTGTAAAGTCCATTCAAGAACCAGGGTCCCGGGTGGGGCCTCCGGAGGGGTCACAAGAGCTCAAGGAGTCCTCTTAGTCCAAGTAGTGCGGTTCTCACTCTCCCAACAATGACCGCCTCCAGCCCCTCGAGCTGAGGCCCTAGCTTTCTAACCCGTAGTAAGACCCCTTAGGAGTAGGATAAAAGGAGCGTGGGTGGCAGCCAGGGAGACCAGCCTGGCTTCTCCGCGGGAAGGAGTTGCTGCGGGTGCGGTTGGAGGTGGTCGTGGGGAGGGGCGCCTTAGGAAACATCAGGAAATGGGATAAGTGGTATCAGCCAACCCCACTGCCCACCCACCTTTCCACGCCCTCGGGACCACTTCTTCCGACGCTGAGAGTAGTGGCTGTCTGTAACTGGGATTAAGGGGGAAAGCGAGCTCCGGGCCACCGCGGCATCTGTGAAGGACCGTGCAGGTGGGGGCAGCCTTGGAAGATTGATGAGGCCGGAGCTTGGGGTTAGCGGGGCCAGAGAGTGAGTGTGAACACGGGCTGGGCCGGGGGTCACCGGCGAGACCATAGCGCCAGGCCAGGGGTACCCTGAGGAGCGGCAGCGCACCTCGCCCGCGGACGGCAGGGCTGGAGGGGCGACGGGGTCTGCAACATTGCGAAACTTAGCTCAAAACATATCTCCAGGATGTGCCCCGGCGCCCTCAGACCTGCTCCCACGCCTACCCAAGCCCCCAGCATCACCCACCCCACCCTGCCAAATGCCCCACGAGCCCTGGTCCCCCGCGGGTCATTACCTCTACCGGAGGCTGAGCGGGGGCGACGGCAGCAGCAGACACTTTTAGGCTGACTTTCCTGCGTTCGCGCTTGAGCGTGTGCGCGCGGAGAAGGAGCTGTAACCTGCTATTTATAGACCCGAGCTTTAGCACCGGGGGCCGAGAACCCGGAGCAGACCAGCAGGCGGCGGCGCAGGGCGCGGGCCGCAGCTCCCGAGCTCCGCCGTCCTCAGCTCGGCTCCGGCTCCGGCCGTGCTCGCCCGCCCCGCCGCGCGCGCCCAGAAGAAGTTGGTGCCGGCGCGGCCGCCTGGCGCGGTGCACACGCCCCCTGGCGCAAGCTATCCTTTCCCCTGCCCCCACCTGGCCTGCCCCTTCCACTCCTCTGTTCCCGAGAGCACTCTGCTCTCCTCCCAATGTCACCAGCTGCGGGGTAGAAGCGTCAGCGACGGAGACGGTCGCGCAGCTGGCGCAGCTCGCCTGCCGTGACGGGTGGAGCGGAGTTGGTGGCCCAGCCGCACACCTCCAAATGACCCGAACTCGCTGGTTCTGTGCTTAGCACCCGCACCCAGACCCTCCACGGGCGGGGAACCGCACCCAGCCTAGGCTGTGGGACCGCTGCTGCGGTGAGGGGGGACCCGGGGTCGACAAACTGCGGCCAGCAGGTGAACCCCCAAGAGAAAAAGCCCAGCAGGAGGAGGCGCCTCAGCCCGTCCCCTCGCCGAAGGTTGGGGGCTGAAGGTGTGCGAAGTGACGTCCCACGTCCTGGGACTTTGGTCTGTTGCCCCTTGAGACCTGTCTCTCTCTCGCCATTCCTGCCTTTTGGCCCAGGTGGGGGTCGGCCCAGGGAGACCTGGGCCCTGGCTCTGCTTGCAGCTCGCCGCAGCTCGCCGCAGCCCGCGGCCGCCCACCGCTAGTCCCCATACAGCGTGCAGCGGAGGCCAAGTTTGCTCCGAATGAGCGTGTACCATGCCTTTGACAGCCTGAGTGTGTGGGGACAGACCCTCCTTCGAGGTGTTTGGGGTGTCAGAAAACGGGGCATATAATCATGCAGTCTGGAAGGAGACTTAAACTCCCCCACTTCCTCGCCGACAAGCCCACTGGGGAAAGCACACAGGCGGCTTCTTCCAAGACGTGGGGTGTGGGGCAAATGAGTCTCCCCATCTGCGCCTTGCAGGTGCCACCTGGTGGTGCCGTTGGAAAGGTTTTGTCGGAGCTGCTCACAGGGACTGTGACCCTTCCTGGAGCTGCCCTACAAGGGCCAGTTCCGCCTCTCACCTCTTTGTGGGCCCTTTAAATTCACATTTCACGTAAAATAGAGCGAGCCTGGAAGTGTAACATTTGCCATGCGAAGAGCCTATAATCCCAAAATCAGGATGGCAGAATCAATTTGGGTTAAGTCAGTGCTTAACAGTTTCGCAAAGTGGGAAGCTGTCTGCCCCCAGCTGTCACCCCTGCTGTCGCTGCCTGGATCCAGGCATCCATTCACTCTACAAGCATTTAACTGCTACTAGGTTCTGAGCTTCGTCACTGAGGGCAGGGACCTTGGCTGATTGGGTTCGGGGGTGTTTTGCTCTCTACTTCCAGCGCTTCCAGCAAAGCCCCTCACGCTGTAATCGTCACCAACCTGAGCGTGGCGATGCACCCCTGTAATCTCAGTACTTGGGAGGCAGAGGCAGGAGATCACGAGGTCAGGGCAGGATTGAACTACATAATGAACTCAAGGGCATTCTGAACTCCATCGTGAGACTTAGTCTCAAAACACCAAACAAACAATTACAACAAAAATAATAAATTAATAAATACCATGGGCTAGAATTTGTGCTTAGCCTATTGGCTGATGCTTTCATTTTCCTCTGTCTCGCCTGTCTCCTCTGGTCAGCAGCAATCACAGTTAAATAAAAAGAAGTGGAAAGGTGAGGGCCTAGACTGTCATCGGGCCCTGTCAGGCGCAGGACACCCCTAAAGAGCTGGTTACACTGTTGGCACATTCTACATGGGGCAGTCCTGGAAGCAGCCACTTCTAACAGGACGAATCCTGCTAGGAAAAGGATGCAGTTGCCACTGGGCAGATTTCAGCGTTTGGAGCAACAGTTCAGCCTTTTGTTAAAATACAGAAAAGTTGAGAGAATGTCAGAACATCAGAGTGCCAGAGTTCTGCTGCTAAACTAAAAATATTAACATATCTATCCTCCGGGGGGCCTGCCCCTTAGCTCAGTTCTTTAAGTGGCTGCTTCAACAAAGCAGTCAGGCTCAGGTTGCTGTGGTTCGATCCCCACAACACAAGACAGCCAAACCTGCCCTGAAGGCATTCGGAGCAAAAAAAAAAAAAAAAAATTGTCCTCCACATAGAGGGGTGTGTGTGCGTGCACGTGCGTGTGTGTGTGTGTGTGTGTGTGTGTGTGTGTAGACTGCAGTACTATTGCCAAAAGTCCTAAAATACAGAACTATAAACTGGACACAATTATTGACTCTGGAAATGAACACTTAAAGCAAGTACCCAGAAAATCCTATTATGCAGTCATTAAAATTCAGACATAGATCATGGTGACCAAGCCCTTTCACAGGGCTGCTGAGGAGTAGGTGATATGCCTGAGTGTATCTCTAAGAAGTTTACACATAAAAGAGACAGACAGACATATACAGGTTGTCATCAGGACCCTAAAAGATGGATGTGTCACGTGGTAATTTAAAATTCCACCAGCCTAATATTCACATTTTTTTTTTTGGTTATTTGGCAGCATTTCCTTAAATAAGCCTGGAAAACTCAGATGTATGGTTTATTAAATTCAAACTACAAGCCTTAAACTTTCAACTACTTGTGCCCCCAAAACATAATTCTATTTTCCAGTGAAAGACAAAATAATTTTCATTTCCTTTTGAAATATTTTTGTGGGACTGGAAGTCAGAGGTGATTACCAGTAGCTGCTTTGCTGTCTAAATCAAAAAAGTCAAGCCAGGATCTGCAGAGCTGGTGTCAGACCCCTTTTTCAGTGAGGTGGCTTACAGTTTTTCCATACATTCATCCCTTCTGGAGTATTTTTATTGCTGCAACACAAGGAGTGCTAGATTTTTATAATCTCTAAAACTTCATTCCACACAGAGGGTCTTCCTTAGTGATAGTGTTGATTTATAGTAATGGATACACTATAAAGAAAATCCTTATTTTCATCTTCTGTCAGTTGGTGCTTACTAGAGAAACAGATTTAATGGAAGATACATAAATGTAAGAATTCACAAGGAAGGCTTACACTGGCCACCCAGTCAGGTGTAGATGAGTGCCAAGGGTCTGTCTGTGTGCTAGAGGTCTGAGGGATTCATTAAGAGATTGAAATCCTGCAGCTCACTGCAGGGTCCTGTGAGAGTCCAGATCAGGATGTCCAAGGGTCTGTGCTAGAAGGCTGAACAGTCTGCCCTAGAAGTCAGGAGATGCAAGGTGGGCTTCTCCAAAGAAACAGAAGCGAACCTTCCTTCTGCATTTCCCTTTTATGCCATTTAGGCTACAAGCCTGTTGCTGCCAGTCACAGCCGGGCTGGGTGCTCTGTCTTCAGTAAATCCCTTCTGCCACACCCAGAACTATGCTGATCCAGTTTAGTTGGGCATTTCTTAACTTTTTTTTCAGAAAGTTATCTGCAAGAGGTAAGTTTCTTACTTATATGTTGAGATCATTGTGTGTGTGTGTGTGTGTGTGCGCACACGTGCATGTGTGCATGAATTTAAGTTAATGATAATGTTGTTAGAAACAAAAGCTTAACCTAATCAAGGAAAAAGAGTAAATTACTGTAAAGATGCTTGTGTGCCTCATGGAGTCCGAGAATAGGAATGAAGCTTGGAATTAGGTACCACTGGAAACAAAGATATGCCACTGGAACTTTCCTTCTCCCTCTTTCTCCTACACTGCCTGCTCCAGTCACTCCCTCCCTCTCTCAGTCTTTCCTCTCAGACTCTGAATGGCATAGGGGCACCATAGAGGAGAAACAGTTCACAGAATGCAGAAGGCAAGAGGGCAGTAAAGCAGAGAAGTAGCAGGTAGCCAGCAGGCATGACAGCAGCCTTCTTCCTGTCCCCTGTGCTCTACCCAGGCCACAGGCCCTTCAGGTGGGTAACACACTCAGCATGGACCTTATAATCCACACATCCCGAACTACACCAAACCAAACTGATTTAGAAATCCCACACCCTAAATCCCAGCATCACAGACGCTAAAGCAGACTCCTCTGAAATATCCCATATATGACCACATTAGGCTTTTCGGGGACATCCAGATGGAGCCATAGATGTAAGGAAGGAAACAGGGAGCAATGACAGTGATGTCCAGATGCATTTGCAAGCCTCCAAGTGGCCTGTCCCAGTACAAGTAACAGTATGGCTCTATGCTCTCTTGGCATGAGACTGGCTAAGTGTGAAGAAGGAATTCAGTTTCTCACAATTTACTTTAGCTTCTGTTTTTATGGAAAATTTTAAATCAGAGTTTTTTAAATGAAGCAAATGGGTGCAAGATGATTTTACATTTATTGAAGATAAACATTCTGCTCTCGCCTTAAGAAATATGCTTTATTTCTAAAGTTGTGTATAAATTATATATTTGAAATTGAAGCATATTTCACAATATTACAAGATGGAAAGTTTTCACATTCTTATGGTTATAAGTCCCTTTAAAAATTTGAACAGAGTTGTGGAGCTGTTCTCCAGAAAAAAGAAAATGAGTTTATACACACACTTTTGTAGCAGGATGACATCACTGGGATCTGGATCTTCACTCTGCACATCATATTTGTCTTCTCCCAACCACCCTTATTTGTACATGTAACACAAAGACTCCAGATTCTTGAACAAAGCATTCAAAATGCCAGTAGATATAAGCCAAAAAGAAGCGTTTGGGTGGGACACATGCGAATGCAGGAGCTCCCATCCTCTCCCACTTCTGCCCTGAGTGAGAGCTGCATGAGCTACAGGTATCAAAGGAAATCAGAGATGTTACAAGGAAGGTAGTGCAGTGTGGGGAGGATGGCTATATTTATCTGCTGGTGCTTCTATTATAAAATACAAGAGACTGGGTGGTTA